AATGTGTTATCATACATTCATAATCCAGTGTCATAACTGTCTGGGTTAAGGATATGAATCTAGCACACATGTCCAGCGTGATCAGGATTATGATTTTTTTTCACCTTCTGTCCACAAACACTCCATTAGTTTGGACTACAGAGCAGCTGCCCTAGAAGCCTTACTATTGTTTGTACACAATACAGATTACACCAGAAAGCAACGTAATCAAACTACAGTGGAAACAAATGACATACATTGAAACCGTTTGCATTGAGTTTGCTTGATTCAAACTTGACAGTCATAATTCTTACAGTCTGTAGTTTTATATATGCTAATGAGAAAGTAAAGGGTCAAAATATTTGAGAAAGATGCCATATAAATAAAATGTAATTGATATTATTATTACCTCTTACATACAATAACATGAGAGTTCACACTCTGATATAAAAAGTAGACAATCCAATAAATTAGCCTGTTTATTTATTAAGAAACTAGTCACATTCATTAAAATATTGTTCTGTTTATTCCCAGCTTATATTTGAGCTCAGTTGAGGTATTCTGTAAACAGTTAAACTTAAGATTTTTAAGATGTGATGATGGGGCAAACTTTAAAATGTAATTACTAAAAAGCTACTTGTAGCATACTTGAAAGTTTGCATACTTGCTTTAATGAAATGGAGGTTTTTGCTTGATTTTCATGGAAATCCATGATGTGACTTGCCAGGTTCTAAGTGATTGGCTGTGGAATGACCCCTTTGCTGTTTGTACATTCTCTACACTGATTACACTTTGAACAGACAGTCTATTAAAACACTGCTCAGGTTTTCCAGCAGGACAATGCGATGCATTTATGGAGCCCTTAATAAAGACTTACGAGCATGTATTTATGTTAACAGTGTTGGGGGCTGGACATGGTGAAGGCCACCTGCTTTCTATGCACCTTGCATTGGTGGGACGGACGGGGGGGTGCAAGAGTCATTAGTTTGGGCAATCTGAGTGAAGGAATGGACAGCTGCGATGATTCAGAGACTCTATCACTGTCCTGCCATTCAGCCTTCAGCTTACAACCATTCCAGCAATGTCTTCATTAGTTTCCACTTCAGGACACATTCGCTCCACATATAGCTTCATTAACGTCACTCCATTAAAGATTTCAGACGAGCTCCGATCAGCGCTGCACCGAAAGGTCACTGCAGTAACACACAGCCTGCGCTAATCTGCTATAAGTCAGAAATGTCCATTAGACCTGCAGGCAGTAGTTCTCCTCGCTCTGATGTTTTGTTTCATTTGTGCTAATATGTTGAGGTGCCAGACAGCACTTTATGGGCTGGATTAGACAGGCTAACTGATAGCATACAGGACAGTTAATTTATTTCACATGCTACATACATCTGTCACTGTAAGCTTCTCCTACTCTAGCTATTCAAGCTGACTGGAACCCAGTAGCTTATCAGCTTGAAAGAAAAAGAAAATTAATGACCTCTGAAATAAATGACAGATAAATCATAAGTCACAATACATTGATAAAATCAGTATCTTCTGCTTTTTGCAACCTGGTGATGCTAAGATGATCTGACTGATATTTGATGTTACAGTCGATACGACTGATTGATGTGTGTGATATAATTAAGTATGAATGGTTGTGTTTTGTGTTGAGCCTGAGGTGTAGGGTTACAGCTGTCTTGGAAACGTCCCTCTGAGCTTTGTGTTCTTACAGCGCTAACACAGTGCTTCATTGTAGTCATAGAAATAGCGCTCAATAGCTGCTGTCTTACATTACATCTGCCTGTAAAACCAGTTTCAGTAGCTATTCAGAACAAACACAAAACCAACACTGTGTGAATAAACTCCTCTAAACTAAACCGCCTGCAGCACAACACTGACTACACAGCTTTACCGTGTTATCAAAAAGTAAAAGATGCAATCAGTCATTAAAATATAAAACTAAAAGTGTACCAAAAAATATAGATACTATATCACAAATTAAAGCATTTCAAATTAGTAATAAATAAAAAATAGATAGACAGACAGATAGATAGATAGATAGATAGATAGATAGATAGATAGATAGATAGATAGATTCGTAAGCAGCAGTTTCATTATGTACACTATTAAAAATTAGGTTCTTTAGTAAAGGTAATATAAGAAACATTATATATAGAACCAAGGTTATATATAGAACAATGGCAGCTCAAAGAACCATTTGAATGCTGACATCGAACCAAACTTTGTTCTTCAAAGTAGCTCACAAGATATCAAGGCCTTTAAAGAGTAAGAATTCAGAAAGAACTGAAAGCTCCCAGAATAAATTACTGAGATTGCGTAATCCTTCAGATTACAGATTCTGATTCAGAATATATTTTGAAAAACAAGATCCAATCCTGCTCACATGTGATGTCTGGTAACAGAAATGAATATGTATCAACAATTCAGAGCAGCAATATGTCAGGCGAGGAAACTCCATGATCCATATTTCTGGTGGCTGAATGATCATATTTTAGTGATATAAACAATTACAAAATAATAGCCTGACAATGAAGATTCTTTCTAATAATTATATGTGGCCTTAATTATAGTCTCTAACTTTTCCACAAGAGACAGTGGGGGACAATTTTATAAATCCATTTTTTGTCCCTTTGCCACCTTTCAAAGTGATCTAGAGGTTGTGGGAAAATATGTAAATAGTGCAGGCCTATGATAGAAAAAGAATTATAATATGGGCTGACTGCTAAAAATCAAGAAAGACTGTACCACTGATATGGATGGATCAGTGGATTACATTCGTTTCCATAGTTACGATGCACTCATTCCCATGGTTACGCTATACGAGATTCGACGATGAGCTACACTCATTCCGACAGTTACACCACACTTGATTCAATGGTTATACTACACCCATTCCCATAGTTACAGTACACCCATTTCCAGGGTTATGCTACAACTGAGTCAATGGCTAAGCTACAACTATTTGCATTGTTGCTCCACACCAGTTTCCATGGTTATGCTACACATGATTCAGTGATTATCCTACACTCTTTTGCATTGTCACTCTACACCTGTTTCCATGATAATGCTACACCCGGTTAATGGTTATGCTACCCCCATTTGCATTGTTACTCTACACCCATTTCCATGGTTATGCTACACCCAGTACAAGGCATAGGCTACACAGAGTACAAGGGTTAGGCTACACTCGTTTCCATGGTTGTACATATATTTCCGTTGTTACACTACATTCATTTCCACAACTACACAACACTCATTTTCATGCTCATGCTACTCCTGTTACCATGATTATGTAACACCAGTTTCCATGATTAAACAACTTGTGAGAAGACACAATTACTACCTCATTACTAGCTGAATTATTGCGGTGCTATTACAGTGAAGATGTAAAGAAATTTGTTTTAAAAATTCTAATTATTGATCAGATAAAGAAGAAAGGAAGGAAAGTCATCTAATGAGAAGATAATCTATTGGATAATTAAGCAGCACTAATTTCAGTAATGTTACAGTTTTTTATCTATACAGTATCACATAAACAGTGAAATGGGTTAAGTCAGTTGCTAACATTATCTGGAGCTTTATGGTGCCCCCTTCCCCTCCCCTTCTGAAACCAAAACTGCACCCTTGGCCTCGATGACCAGTCAGGACCATTTAGTGGTCTCTGGAAGGGGGCATTAAGTTACACACCATCAGTAAGAGGTCAAGCTCGGTGAATATGACCTTTCAGCCTCTATGCACCTGTCAGACTTTAGGATAGAGTAGAGAGACGTAAGACCAGCTTCTTCAACCAAATCAAATGTACTCACAATAAATGCATACTTGGTCTCAGTTTAACACTAAGAATTTCAGAAGCGTATGGTTTCTATAAAACCTCAACTCTATAAACCTTTATTGTAATTTAGAATAATGTTTTTGCTCAATAGTTCAGCAAATACATAATATTTACACCATTTTCCTGGTCCATGTTTTTAGCTAACAGTGTCTCACACAGTGTCAGAAACCATATAATCAAGATTACTTAACAACTCCACATGGTTTGAGGCAGGTATATGATGATTTGGGCATGCAGTTAGCACCATGCTAACTGGGAGCATATTAACTTCTATTATTTGTTAGCTTCATTAGCCTCATAGCTTCAGTACCAAACCCACAGAAGCAAACTTCAGACACCAAACATATCTTAATTGACTGATTACATTTGGGGTAAAGCAGTGGTATTGAGTATGTTACATATTCGGCTGATTTACTGCTAGACTAAAAGATCACTTTGTGTTTTTATGAATGAGTCAGTAATGTGTTTAGAAGCTGAATAGCAGAAACTCTTGTAAACACTCTGTACTGAGTTTGTATTTTCAGTTCATTGGACACTTTGGAATCTGCAGCATCAGACCTACCGCTGAGTGGTGTGGCAAAGGCCAAACTTGTATCAAAATACTGCTCCATCTCAGCCGCCATGCAGCATCTTTAGTATTCAGTGGTGAACTGTCACTATTAGAGCCAAGCCTTTAGTCTGGCACTATAAATGTCAAAACTCAGTCACACCACTATGATAATGCTATCTTTGCTAGCATTCCTATGGGGTTCTAGTAGTATGTTAGCGCTAGCAATTCACATGAACATTTTTTACCTGCTCTAGGTTAAAGACCGACATTTATAGCTTATAAAAGACACTCCATCGTTTTATTTAAAGCTTGTAACAGACATTAACATATATTTGAGCTTTCAGTAAAGAGTCCTGGCATAGAGCTGTAGCTGCTGTTTTCTATTACTCTAAACTGACTCAAATCTAGTTAGACTATGGCTTGTATTCATAGTCAGAGACATACCTAGTGCTTTCAGAAGTACTAGAGTGACATTTTTTATATATATAAATGCATATAAATAAAAATATACAAATAAATGTGTAAACACATCATAAGACTTTTGCTTCTCTTAATCGGATAATCAGTAATAATGTATACGGCTGTGCAGCATGTTTCCTGCTGATATTTATTCTGTATGTGAGCATGTACCTGGTTGATGGAAGCTGGGGGACAGTTCTCTTGCCACAGTTCTGGCCAGATCTGATTCATGACCAGCAGCGACTGCAGCCTGATCTGCTGCTTCACTCTTCACTCTGGCATGGGCTGTCCTGTGAAACACATTTTCACGAACACAGTTCATATTTTACATATTTACACAATATGTAAACACTATACCATATAATAAACTCTCCAACACTCATACTCCATAATGCAGCACGTAACGCTGTTGTTCAAGAGAGTATCACTCATAAAGGGGAATTCCAGTGATGATATTTTCCAATTTTCTGCTTGATTAAAAATAGTTAAGATGTAAACAAAGTCGTTCAAAATGGTTTGGTGTGAAATGCTCTGTTCTAGAGAAACTTACTGAGTCAGAATTGTTCACAGTGGTGGTGATGGAAACCAGACGTCCACTTCCTAAAGTTCCTTTACAGAAAGTTATTACATGAAATGGCTATGAATACCCTGCCTGATGTCTGAGACATTGTTTTACGATAGTTCTGAGAAGATTTTGCCCTAAAACATATTTTAAAAATCCATTCTCCAAAGAAAACTTTTTCAGATTTACCACTATTTTACCATCATCAACGTTACATATAAAACTCAGGAGACACGTGTAGGTTCACTGGTGGTTTTGGATAGTAAATAAAATGGCTATATTTGGGCTGTAGACATTGTGACCCTAGGTCCCTATCAACACCACAGTAAAGAAATCTGAGTCTCTCTGACCCATTTCACACAAAACAACTCTGAAAGACCTTGTTTACATCTCAACCACTGAACCATTCAACCATTCATAATTATTTCATGTACTACCTTTCTGTGATGGGTTTGTTTAGAGGTGAACGTCTGGTTCCTATCACTACCACTGTGAACAATTCTGATTTGGTATATTCCTCTAGAATTGAGCATTTCACACCAAACCACTCTGAATGCTTTTGTTTACATCTTAACGACTTAATTATGCAGAAATTCTGAAAAGTTGGTGAAATTCCCATTTAAGGAATACCATTGTGTTCTAACTCCACACACTGTGATGCACTGCTCTGAAAATGCATTGATTTTGGAATGTTATATTCATAATTATATTCGATTCTAGTTCATTCATACCAAGTAACATTCACACTACAATACTGCTCAAACTCTTACTTTGATTTGCTTGGCTTGTCTGTTTTCTTGTATCTGAATGTTTTAGGACAGATGTCAATCATATTATGCAGTGCTCTATATTCATATATACAGTGCATAAGCCTCAGAACATTAAACCTGCCTGTGTTTTGTTAAAGTAAATATCAGTCTTGCTGTGATGTGGGTTTAATCTTCTATAACCTGACCAAGCTTCTGTGCACAAGCATCAGTGGAAAAAAGTCTGCGTGTGCTGTGACTGGGTCACTGAAACGAGTCTGAATTGACATTAAAAATGACGTGGCCTGAATTTGTTCAGGGTAAGAGAGGAAGAAGGAGGAGGGGGCAAACACAGACAGAACGCCCCTGACTCTGTAAAGTGCTTCTTATAGAAATGCCATATTTCATTTTTTAAAACTGAAAGAGGAAAAAAAAATTCTTTTGATTAGAGTTATGTTTAGGATTAGACTTATAAAACTCATTATATACAGATACTTACATATATATAATACATATGAAACTTATATGTATGAGCATATTATGTTGTTTATGTGTATATGCAGTACTGTGCAAAGACTTTAAGCACCTGAGAAAATTAGAATTAAAAAGTTGTTTATCTGGACTATAAGTGTTTATTTGCTCACAAAACAGTAATATTGGACTACAGGTGTACTACTAAGGCGTGTGTGTGTGCAATACATGTGTATATGGGTAGGTGTTTAGGAGCCTCTGTAGGGTCACTCAGCACATTGACCCTGTGTTTTTTTGTCAAATCCTGCTTTTACAAATGGATGGGAGGAGATCCGACAAAGAACTTAATCCAGTCTGAGGCTCAGGAACACACACACACACAGCACAGGAACCCCCACACACACTTGCAAAGGAGGACAAACAGATGCGCAGTGACTTTTTCTGCTCCAGCATCACAGCATAATAAGAACAACAATCAATTCACTCACATCATGGTTCACTGAAAATGTGGCTAGAATTTTGACAGTCTACACATATTTATTATGCATATTCTTCATGCGTGAACACAAATGTTTTTTTCAGTGATGTGTGGCTTCGAATTAGGGCTGAAATTGCACCTTAAAAGAGTACAATTTTCCCATTGCAGGAGCAGCTATTAGTCTGTAATTAATAGCTGCTCTTGCGATGCCCAGTTTTAAGTGAGGAAATTGAATCGAATAAGAGTTCATAAACTGCTTTTAGATAAGTCAGACCAATAAGGAACAACCAAACACCCATGTCCTGAGACATCACAACCAAATCTAACTGGCAGTCTGGCGCACTACATCCAGCATTCAAACTTCAAGCCAGAAAAAGTGGATTTGTTTGTGTTCTTGGTTAAAAAAATGCCTTAATTTATAGAAAATAATTTAAATCACAATATCAACATTGGTGAACAAAATCACAATTAGATATTAAGCCTTTTTTGTGGTCTCAGAACAGTGAATGTAAATCTTAAGGGTTAAAATATTTTGTTTTACTGTGCACTGCATGTTTTTCAATCATATAAAAGCCAGTCCTGGGCTCAGCTACATTTGTGCAGTCCACTGATAAGCATTATTAGCCAAAATGACACCCACAAAAAAAGCCAAGAGTGTTGATTTTGTGCTGGCATTTAAACAGACCACCAAAACAGATGCTGAGTAAAACAACCAACAGCTCAACAGCCCTCAACAGAAAAATCTCCCAAATAGAGTGTTTAATTTGCATTGAAAGGTTAAAGGGGAATTCCACTGATTTTTACTGCACTGGTAAAAGGAACCAGGGGTTGTGATGCCTGGGCACTATTTTGCCCCACAACACCCTGAATGTAGCCCTCCACCATGAATGGCTTTCAAAAAAAGAAAGTTTAAGGTCAAAAGCATCAAAAACTATCATAAAACTATGTCTCAGGCATTGTGCAGTGAATTTGTTTTAATAATTTTAAAAGCATTTTAATAATAATAAGATAATAACTTCCTGTGAAAGAAACTCTAGAGGCGGATGTCTGGTTCCTATCGCCACCACTATGAACAATTCTGGCTCTAAGTTTCTTACCACTGATCTAACCGCCTGATTTGCTCTGAACAGTTTAATAGCCCAGAATTCAGTCTTCTATGCATACATGAATGAAGTACAAGGAAACAATTTGTCCGGCTGCTCCACTTAGTGCATCACTGAAGCCCCATCAGTTTTCCCTGCGGGTCTTGGGGTGAGATTTATTTAACTTTCCACATATGTAAGGTGGTTAAAACAGTAACTTAATAAAGTTGGTCTCAGTCAGTCAGTCAAACTACCTCATTTTACCAACTACAAATGTAATGAAAATGAAATGACTTGCAAATGGAGGAAAACAGGTGTGTTTGGAAAACACACAGGTTTACCACACAGACGAATCCAAAGCTGAGATTTTTTAAGTTTATTTGTGGCTTTGGACATGAGTAGAAAACAAAACCCTCCACCCTGTCTTTCCAAACTCTGCAGGCACATCTTTTGACTAAAATATAGCCACACATGTTGCTAAAGACCTGACCTGAATAGAGTTGAAAAGCAGCTAGAAACGGTTGCTAAGCGGTGATTGGAGAGCTGAGGAAAATGGGTGGGTTTTCTGATAAGTCTTATCAGGGCTGGGCTATATGACAATATTTATCGTTGTCATGACAAAGCATGTCACACTGTGCGCATACTGTGGATATCATCAGAACTTCCCAACTGCATAATTAATTACAAGTAGAGCCAAATAAGTCCCGTTTAACTGGATTTAGTGCAGCGCAGTGTGTTAAATGTTAAATATCAATCATTGTATTCAGTATTTTTTTACTGTGGCACTACTTTGTCTGTTTCAATATATCAGATGTCTGAAAAATATGTACTGTACCATATCATGCATCATTAAGATGTCTTAAAATATTGTAATGTTACATTTTTGCCATTTTGCCCATCTCTAAGTCTGATTGGCTCAATCACTAATGCTGACAGACTAGTTGTGCCCCTTTCCTGTAGTACGGTGCATGGATTTTGTGATATGGTCGGTATTGTACAGTATACTACTATGAAGAGTAGCAGTATACAGTATATATTAGTGCAGTATGCCATATCTAGCACAGTAGCATGCCATTTTGAATGCACCTGATGTGTTTTGTGTGTGAAGTTGGCAGGGTTCAGACTTTGAAATTAAAGCACAGTGGAGAGCAGCTGCTCACTTGCACTCAGCTGTGTTTAGAGATTTAGCTCAGATCACCAGTAATAACAAATTTATGAATATCATTAGAATGAAAATAGAAAACATTGAAGCAACACTGGCCCATAAACAGTTTAAATATTCATCTGCATTTTTTGACACATATATATATATATATATATATATATATATATATATTATATAAAAAATAAACAATCTTAAATATTAATTTCTGCAAATCACACTGTGCATTTAATAGAATGGCACTGTAGCTGTGAATGACAACAACAAAATGACACAAAACGCATCACAAATGAACTGAGCAGCTGAGTTTTATACTGAGTGGTTTATGGTGGTTTAGCTTTTAGCCTGTGGGCAGCTTTAAGGAGCTACACAGACAGCGCATACGGACACCAACCACAGTGACCTGCTTCTAAAATCCCCCCCTCCATCACATACATGCTGTTCTGATCTTCACTGAGTGCTCCAGCATTAGAAAGATTTTAGTCCCTCTTTCCCCCTCAGAACGTTCCAGCACAAAATTATTACACAACGGGACAACGAGAGGACAGAACAAACGCTCTGAAATGTTCAGGATTAGTCCAGTGAGGCACGTTTAAAAGTTAACACATCCTCTACAGGGATCACTCTAAATATGGCACTTCTTTCCAATGCTAAGTTTAATGTATTGGGAAAAATAACATGAAATATAAAATGTGCTGTAACTCTTAAAATGTGCAGAAGTATGTTCTCTACAGAGGATGTGTTAACCCCTTAAAATCCCAGGCTTATTATTCCGTAACTACAAGGACT